CTTTATAATTACAGCCCTATTATAAACAAAATTACATTTCTTAATTACTGCGGATCTATTCGTTAAAATTAGTCAGAATGATACAATTTACAACGCGCTAAAAAAGATCTATCTCATATATCTATTATAATTAAGAAATAACAAATAATTGTATTAAAAATTCATTTTTCATCGAAAAATTTTTTGTTTTCAGAAAATATTGTCCATATTCATAAAAACAATTAAAAGCAAATAAAAAGCATTTGAAATTAAATAATGTCTTTGTTTTATTGAGTTTTTCATTAACATCTGACAATTATTTGTATTTTTGCAAGATTTTCCAAATTAATGTGTGTCATACCAAAAAAAACGTGCTAAAAATTGTCTGTTATTTTACTAGTTCCGGTGATACAAAGAGAAACAAGTTTTTTTTTAATCAAAATTTAATGTTGTAAAAAGGAAAATTTTTTAAAATAATTAAAAAAAAACAAAAAAACTTTGGTCTTTCCTCTTAGCATTTAGACGATAAAATTTTGTTTTCGGCAAGGTTGGCGTCTTTTTCATCAATCTATGCTCTTTTTTTTAGCGATAAAAGGTCCGAAACTTAATAAAAACAAAGTTTCATCATTAAAATGTTTATGTAATTATTAAGAGGGAAAAACAGGTTTTTTTTAAATATTTTCCTGCTTTCTAACACGTTCTAAATTTGGGTAAAAAAAAAAAAATTTTTTTTTTTTTAATTCCGTAAAACTTGTGGTCATCGCTTTTTTTAGTGTAGCAGTTTCGGGGGAAACCCATTAACTTGGAAATTCTTGCAAAAATCAAATAATTGTCTAATTTAAATGAAACTTTCAGGACTTGTTAAAAAATGAATGAATTTTTGAAATTTTTATTTTTAGAAAATCTTGGTAAAAATTTTTTTTTTTTTTTACATCTGTTACGGGGGGGGGGTAACACACACCAAATTAATTTTATGAAATTTTCGAGAATTTTAAAGAGTTCGCAAAGTGTTTTATATTACTTATAAAGACTCCTTGGAGTAATTAAATCAATTTTTTTTCACAACTACTGCCAATTTTTTAAAAACCGGCTCCAATAAAAACTGCAATAAACAATTATCAAATTATATAAGCTTTTTTGCTTTTATAAATAATATACATTAAGGACATTATTATCTGGAGAAAAAATTTTTTTTCACTGAACAAAGAATTTTTACAAGAATTGTTTGCATTTTTCTTTTCATTTTTTTTTAATTTTTCTTTAATTTTAAAAAATGTTTTAAAATTCTTTCATGCAGAGTGTGGGGTCGGTTATTAACTTTTTAAGTGAAGACTATATTTTAAGCGAAAATTAAAAGCTTAAATACAAATAATGCTGCCAAAACTTTTTACCATAATTAAAAAGATTTTTTCTTGTGTGTCAAAATGTTATTTTTTTTTTTTTTTAGTATGTTATCTCATAAGTAACATTATGGTTAAAAGGTCACGTATTTCAAAGCTTGTCTCCTCCTTGGGCAAAAGCCCCTTGACATGTAAAGGTCTTATCTCACTCTCAGTTATTAAATTAAAATTTAATTGAGATAATAAAATTATCTCATTTATCAATTTAAACAATTAACTCAGTGAGATATTTTAATTATTAATATAATAATAATTTTATTAGTTATTATCTCAGTTATTAAATTAAAAATGTAATAACAATGTAATAATTAATAAAATTAGTAATAACAATGTAATAAATCAGTAGTAACAATGTAAATAAAATTAATTATCTGAGCTATTAAAATAAATAATGAAAGAGATAGAATACTCAATCAATACTCAATAATGTAAGAAATTTTTATAGTATTTTAAATTATTATAAGAAACAAAAAAAAAAAACCGTTATGTCACTTTTGATGCACCGTACTAAACCTGTCAATACATTCAGCCATCAAATTATCGATGGAGACGTGAAAATAACAAGACCCCGAGGTTAAGAAATGTTTGTCTAGAAAATTTTATGCTAAGTAAGTCATTTTTGTTTCAGAACAGATTAATTTAAGTTTAACTTTGCTAATTTTACGAAAGTAACGTTTCAGAAATGTATATCTTATTTTAGCGGGAATTTTAAAACTGAAAAATAAGTTCGTTTACATTTCACTAAAAAAAAAGTTAAAAATGGCCGTTTCGATTGTTTTTTTTTTTTCGGAAGCATCGACTAAAAATCATTCAAATTTCTATTTGAAATACTCCAGTTTTTTGGGGTTTTTTTTTCTGGAATTAGAAAATTTAATCCTTTAGCTTTCAATTGAAGTGGTTGGAAAGCTTCGAAAAGGATTTTTTCCTTTATGAAAAATACATTTTTAAACCTTATTTTTTTTTTTTTATTTCACTGCACTAAAGGATAAAAATATTTTTAAAGTATCAGTTTTATGACTTTTATGCCATGGACAAAGAATAGAATCTGGCAACTGAAATTTTCGAACATTGAAGAAATGGAAGTTAAGTGTTTCTTTATGCATCCCATGCTATATATTTTTCTTTCTTTATTTGCTGTGTAAAACAGAAACTGTTGTTTCAGTTCAAAATATGAAAAATTAACCACCCCGAGTATTTTTCAAGTTACCTTGTACAAAGGATTATCATTTTTGTTATAGTTATCTGTAGTATTTTTCTGCTGTAAAAAGGCTTCCGCTTGTCTCTTCTTATGCATAACCATAACTGCACTAAAAATTGAACTGATAAGTCTCCCTCTACTGATGAAGCTCTATTTACTTTATTAACACAGTCAGGACTGGGAATTAAAAAGACGTCACGTTTTGATTTTAAATCTATTCAATAGAAGATCACAAAGAGATGGAATTTGAATAGAGTTGCAAAAAGCATAAAATAAAAACTAAGGGACAGATGGGAGTAGCACTAAAAAGAGTAGTTTTTTATTTTTTTTAGAATTTTTAATAGAACAGTACTCCACGTCTACCGACACTTAAACTTACTCCAACCAAGTTTTTAATAAAAATTTTTTTTAAAATATTCGGTGGTAGGATACCTGTACAAAAAAAAAAAACAAATTTAAAGAGAAAGACCATTGGAAGCTTACCAAAATCTTCCAAAATAAAAGGATTGTGCTGAAAGAAAAAAAAAAAAAAAAACATTAAGTAAATCTAAAATCACTAAAAAAAATTCTTTTTCTAATTTCTCCCGCTGCTTGTTTGCACAATAATACACTACGGACTCTTAACAAGCAGTATAAAATATTATCCTAGAATCCAGAGTATTTTTTAAATATGTAGCGATAAACAATGAACTTTACGAAATGTATCTGAACTAATTATGTTATTCTTCTGAAAATATTTATCAATCGTATCACGATTGAATAGTTTTTACACAGTTGAGTTGAATAAATGATTATAAACTTGCAAATGTAGAAACAATTTGTATTATTTCAATTTGTTCGTTCGTAAACAAACAGAAAAACAATTTTTTATCAAATTACTTTGGGCGCTGAAGAACATTATTAACCATTTTTATACGTGTTTAAGTTTTGTTTAAACTGTATTTGAAAATAAAATTAACTAACACCAACAATAATTCTCATTTAGTTCATGAGAATTTTAAAAAGCAACGAAAACACTATTTTAAAATATTATTTTTTTAACTTCTGTATTAAATTTTTTTAAATTGATGAATAAAAAGGGAAAATCCATTTGTTTGCATATTGACATTTTATTTTTTATAAAGATTCAGTTAAACTTTAATCAGTGTGTAATTTTGTAGGAATATATACTTTTCTTGATGAGTAATACGTCCTTCATTTCATTAGGATTTTTTTTTTTTTTAGGAGGTTACGGTCTTTAATTTTACGCTGGATCTTAGTGTCCATTTTCGTTAGTTCATAATTTTAAAGTACGGAAACCTAAAAAGGTGTAAAAATAGTTAATTCGTAGTTACAAAATCCCCAGCTTCAACCTAGCGTTATTAACTTGATAAAATAAGGTTTTCTTTTTAGGCTTCTATACAAACTATCCTCATTTTTGTATAGACAGACGGTTACAATGTCCAGTTTATCAGTTTAATTGAAGAGTGTCATAATATTTAATTTAAAGGATGCCATTGCCGTTAAATTTAGTTTTCACTGCGTTAGCTTCAGAGTCCAAAAGAAAAAAATACTCAGTTCTACTTTTAGAACAAAACACCGAAAAGAAATTATTTTATCCCCACTCCTTTGTTTTTAATTACTAATCATGTACAAGTAACTGTCCATAATGAAACTTAAAAATGAATTACGATCTACAGTTTCAATAACATTTAAAATGAAAACAAACATCTTTGTTCGTATAAAAATTGAATATGAGGAATTTTAATTAAATCATTATTTTTAAAATTCACATTGAACACATGCATCATTGAGTAATAAAATCACATCTTCTCTGTAGCATGTTCCTTCAGAATGTGGGCGATCATTCTCCACAACCTCCTGTCCATTTTTGTAGCTTTTGTGGTTTGGTTTGTTTTTGCTATCTCCGAATCACTGTTAGCATTTTTAAATGCATTCGACATGTCTAAACACTTTAATGTGTGCATTATTTTTTTTTTTTTACAAAAACTGATGACACAGAACTGTAAATTTGCATATTCTTCTAACAATGTGCAAGGTTTTTGTATTATGATTTCGAAAAGCGAACAGAAAAATCCTGTTAAACAAAATAAACAATGGAAGAGACATAGAAAACAGTAGTAGCAGTATTTATACAGAAAAAATTTAATAAATTAATAATATCAAAACGAAAAACATGAGAGAGATAGAGAACGTTTCTGAGTTTTTGGTATTTCTTTTTTTTCTCTCTCACTATTTTTACTTCAAATACCAGAAAACAATAAATAAATAATCGGGGACCAATATACTATTGACAAAAACCTAGAAGTAATCCCTCTCTTTTTCAAGTTTTAAAACGGAATTACTAAGTTAACATTAACAACGATATTTGTTTTTTAATAAAGCGAATAGATGTTCAAATGAGAGATATAATTTTTTCTTACCTTGTCTATCGTGGATTAAAGAAGAAAATAAAGCAGCTGTCCATTAAAAACCAACGAAAAAGGTTCTCGTTCTCTATGGCTGGCTCGATAGTCTCATATCCAACATGGATTCTACTTTTCTCTGATTATTTTTTTTTTTTTTTTGGTTATTAAATTTCAATGTTTTCGATAATGATTTACTTTTGCGAAATCCTTTGCAAATATGGAGATTATTTGTTTTTTATTATTTTTTTGTAAAGAAATGTCGTCATAGTGATAATAAACGACGAAGATTAAAAAGGTTTCCTACCTAAAGCTCGCTGGACTTTTGGTTGTACAAAAACCTCATCACTATTACCTGAAAGAAAAGAAGGAGGAGGAGGAAGAGTGGTGAAATTGGTACAGTCAGAACAATAACAGAAAAGTAGGAGGAGGGAAATGGGGGAAAGAGTGTAATGAAGAGTGAGACAAACAAGCAAGGGTAGGCAAGAAATGACAAGAGAAAACAGATATGGAATAATAACTAACTACAGCTGAAAATAAGTAGAATTATCAAATAATTAATGTAAACTAAGTTAACCATGAAACTATATTAAATGTTAATGACCTTCATCGCCGCTACGAATACGAAAGCAATTTTATTTTCTACACTAGTTTTTTTTTTTTTTATCAATTAATTTTTTTTTTTAAATCGTTTTTTTTCATTTCGTATTCAAGGCTCTTTTTAGTCTTTACTTTTTTAAAAAAAAGTCTCGATTGATTTTTGTATAATGGAGCATTCGTTGTCTACTTTCATGAAAAATGATTAAAAAAAATGTCAGCTACTAACTAAATTTATTATTGTATTTTCTGGTTCTAATTGCAGTAGTATATTTTTTAAGTTTTCTGTCCCTTATAGTCGGATCGTGCCTGCAAACAACCGGAAGACTCTTTGTTTATCCTATCAGACTACACTACAGTACACTAGGTTCCGTTTTACTTTTATTACCATACAATTCAGATAGTACACCCTTGATAAAATACCCACTTTCGAGTTTGACATTAATAATCAGTAGTAAAAATAAAATCTTCCTTATTCTTGAACTACTCAGGTTGGGGAGCACACACATTTGTTTTCGTACCACTTAAAAAAAGTAACCAATATTATTCCACACATTTTTTTCTCTTCTCTTTTTACTTTATTCTTGTTTTTTTGTTTTTTTTAAATACAATATTTACATTTCGGATGTGTGTTACACCCTGTGGTCTTTAAAGCCAGTTTAGCTTTTTAGCATTTTTTTTACCAATTTGTTAACTGTGATTGGGCGCCTACCAACGCGAATACGTATTGGAAGTGCAGCTGTTTTAACAATTAAATTTCAATAATTTCATAATTATGACTTTAGTTAGTGTTAAACAAATTCTAAGTTTTTTTGTTTTTTTTTATCTAATCACCTGTTTTATGTAATATGCGTATTTTCAAGGGAAAAATAAGTATTTCATTTCTTTATTTTGTTTTGATGGTTTATGCTGTTTTCTACGAAAAAGTGGAGATAAGCAGAAGCTGTTATTTGTTTTTTTAGTGCAGTCCTACCTATATAAATGAAATAATTTGATCCGTTTATTTTATTTCTGTGTATCTGTGCCAAACGTTTTAGAAACATACTTAATATAAGATCATAAACAGAATAATATAAGATCATAAACAAAATAATTTCGTCTGTAACGAAAACAGCATTATTGATGACGTCATCACATTCCACACCACATTATCCACGAGACTGCTCTTTTAGACAAATACCATAAATTCTTTTTTTGATTCATCCACTCACTTGAAAACACTGGAAACAGATAAACCAGGAGAATGATCTGCTTTTTCATGTTGCTCTAATTTAGTGTTATTATTTTTAATTAGTTTTGTGTACATGAAACTGAAAGTGAAAGTTAGGAAAATGAGTTTAAAGGGGGTGGATATGATGGGAGAGAGGCTTGAATTATGATGACTATACAAACGGAAATTTACGACAAAAGAAAATTTAAAAAAGACTAAAATTTAATAGGGGATCTAACAGAAGAAAATATGTTGTATAACATCCTTTTACAACGCACTTTAAAAACAGTTAAAATATTACGGGGATAAGTCAAAAATTATCTACACTTTCACCATAATATATCTTTAGACAAGAGTGCAGATACTTATTTTACTTTTCCTTGTACTTCCCCCTCCTTTTTACTGAATCAGCCCTTGTACTCTATGACCACCTACCTCACCCACACAGCTCCATACACACATCAAAAGTTAAAGAATACCCCAGCCAAAACAGCATGACTTTTAGTATTAGCCTGAAGTACTTGTTCAATAATGATGTAATCTCAGAATTTCAGAAAAATATGTGCTAATCCACATTGTGTTGAAGCATATTTTTTATATTCAGTATCTTCATAACAAAATGGTTAATCTCAGTGTAGGAGATAAATCCATTACTTCATCAATATGCACCATGAAATAATTATTAAACCCAGTGGTGTACTAATGCAAAGTGCTACCCGGGGCCTGTATTCATAATGGCGCCCACTTTTTTGGAGTCAAAATATGAATGAAATACCCTTAATGGCGTTGATTAGTACTTGAAAAGAAACAAATTCAAAAATTAGCTGAACAAATGTTATCATATTTTAACCCTTCAACCTTTTGCAGAAGCAAAGTTACTAATAACTTGGTCAAAGTCTATCTTCTCCAGTTTCATGTTCAATTGAAATGAGAGACAAATTAGATAAGCGATCTTGCAACATACTCGATCTCAAGTGACTTTTAAAGAGCTTCAGTTTTAAGAAGCTTCTCTCTGCAGTAGCAACAGAAATTGTGAGCTTCAAAAACAGATGTAGAGCAATTACAATATCTGGCACTGTTTCTTGAACTTGTCATCGATAAATGCATCTCAGCCATTTGATAACCAATGATTTGGTCATCATGGTCATGTCATATTCCACTTTGGAAGCTGCTGCTAAAAATCCCGAAGTCGGAGAACTTCCAAAGGCAGTCTAGATAATCTAAGTCTGCACAGTATTTGCTACCGAGAATTTTAGATTTTCACTCCAATTCGCCTTCAGTATCTTTCAGGAATGCCTGCGATGATAATCCAGCAAAGACAGTTTGCAAATGAGACATGGAATCAAATCGTGCAAGTCAATCATGATATTCGTAAAGATTTCTCTTTACTTCCTGCGCAGATATTTGACGTACATCGTCTTCTTTTTCCCCAGGTAGCTTTCTCTTTCTTATAATCCACTTTTCAGCTGGAATTTCCATTTTATCGCATTTTGTTTTACTTAGCTTCCAGAACTTTTGAAATCCTGTATTTCTTGCTAGGCTTGATTTGCGTTACTCTGTCATCAGGAAGAAGCGACAGCAAAAACAATAAAGAGATTTGTTTGTCTTTGAGTACAGCAACCATTATCTCAAAATGGTCTCTCCATTCTCTATAGTTTTGTAAAACCAGTGTTGTTGTTTCCCCGGTCTTAAAATTGGAGCAAACGGTTCATCTTTGTTTTGAAACTTTTTAAGTCCCAATATTACAAGATTAACAAGCAACTTCCCTGAGCAAGTTTGTGTCCAAAATGCGATGTTTTCGTACACAGCAATCTCTGTGTTTGCCTGTTCTTTCCAGTAACTTCATCAGTTCCTTCTTCATATTCACACCTGTCCTTACCGCATGCACTGGAGCTTTCTTCCTTTGGCACATCAACATTGTCACCTTCAATTTCTTTAACAACATTAATTCCTACAGGAAATTCCTCTTCAACTTTTATTTCTATATTTGTTTCCACCATATTCGCAGTTTTTCCATGTTCCTCCCCTCCTAGTTCCGATGTGCATTCAGTTTTTGCCGTTTACTCATTGTAATCGATGAAAAAAATAGAAAAGAAACAAATAGGAAAGGAGCTTACCCAACGGCATATGTAATTTTTATTTATTGTACTAAGATATAATTTGGCACAAGCCTGAAAGTGATGATGTTAAAAAAAGGTTGATAATTTTTTAACTATCCCAAACTTAGCTAAACACATTCGTGACCCATTCACATCTTATAATGGCATAGGGAAGTGTTGCTTAAAAATAGAATTAGATAATTACAGGAGTTTATCCTATATAGCCAATGATTGCTTAAATCTTTTCTTAAATTCAATTTTAAAAATTTATTATCCTTTCTTTTTCTTATACATTTTTCTTATCCTTTTTTTTATTTCATTCTTATATTCAATGTGATAATTTAAAATTTAATCCATAGTAATGGTCGTAATAAAAATAACTGAACATTGAAAATTTGTAATAAAAAATCATTCAAATTTTATAAGAAATGCTCACTTTTGATACTTGCATTAAACATTACCTTATTCTCCAGAGAACTGACTAACAATTATTTTTTTTAGGCAAAGTAATTACCCCCTTGTTATTTTGCTGGCGTATACTTTTTTTGACCTTACGGCATTATGAAAGATGGTAATGAAACTAATAAAGAAAGAAATATTTGATAACAATTTTATTTATTTCCATCAGTTCAGCAGGTTATTTGAAAAAAATATTCGTGTTTTAAAATAAAGTTTTTAAAACAATAAACATTAAAAGTCAACATTAAATAATTGCTCTTCTGACTTTGTTTTTGATATTATAGAGAAACAAATCTTTGATCTTTTTTGTGTTTCTACTACTTGATGTAAAAAAAAAATGGATCAAATCTCTTACCTCCAGACATGCTTGGGGAGATTCTACATTTGATCCTGAATGAATATTTGAAAATATTTTAAAAATCGTTCCAAAACACTTTAAAGCATAATATTTGAAAATTTTACATCTAAATAAACTTAACTTACCTATTTACAAACTTAAGATTATTATTTTGTAATACTAATATAAATAGTTAATCTTGTAATATGCACTAGATTTGATTTTTCTAACAATGTTTGGTTTAAAAACTCGAAAAAATTTAAAATTTAATCTAGAATGTTGTTATTTTCACATAATAATTCTAAAATAGTGATTTTATGGAAAATCTATTGAAATCTCTGAAGAGCGTAATATTTATACAGTGCTTTAAAAATTGCAAGTTTACTAAAACTTTTGAAATGTAAACAAACTTTAAATCGCATATATTTCTGGTTCTACTTTACTATGAATATTTCTTTATTTTAAAAAAACTCCACTCTTTTTCTACAAAAAGAACCAATTGAAAAGAAAAAATAACATTCATTTTTAACAAGCTTCAAAGATCTACAGTTGATCAGTCTGGGATTAGATTCTACAGTTGAGTTAAGTTAGGGTGGAGATTTTACAGTTGCTCAGTCTGGAGGAATTCTTCACCTGATCCAATGATTTATGTCAACGTTTTGCAATAAAAAGAAGTAAATAATTGGTTATCTTCAATATACGCACTCTCGAATTTTTCAGCTTTTTTTAAGGAATGCCGCCTTCAAATTAGCAGCAGGAGACAGCCACGTATGCTCTTTTGATTTGTGTTTTTTTTTTGCAAATAAACTTACTTTACTGCTTTTTAAACTACAAAAGCAGTAGTAGTTTAAAAAGCAGTAAAATCGACCTTGCTAATCAGATGCTCCTCTGTAGCTAAACTGGTATAGCACGTCAGGCTATATGATGGTTCCACGTAGGATACAGGTTTGATTTTGATCAGAGGACATATTTTCTATGAAAATTTCTCAGAAGTTCAGTCCGGTAAATGTTGTTAATACTGTTTAATATAAACAGGGCATTTACTTAAATATTTGTGTCTATATAAATAACGTCTAACAATAAAATATATTAAAATAATTGTCGGACTTTGTCCATTTCATATATATATATATTTTGAACAATAAAAAAATATTAAAAAATTAAAATCTTCAGACACACTAGGTTGTAGATTAATATTCTTTTGTTTTTTTTATTATTTCATTTAGATTCCTCGACTAGTTTCGGCCAAAATGGCCATCATTGGGAGAAGAAATATTTCTGCTTGCTGGTAGCAGTAAACTACAGAAATGAATGTCTTGATGGAGAAAATGAACTTTTGTCTGTAGTTTTCATTTGTTTTTTTTATTTTATCTTTTAACATGAATCTTTTAACATTCCTTGTGTTGGTCAAACAGTCTCTTTTTAAGTTGTTATTTGAGATAAGATCTGGATGGATCTATGCTTCTCTGATTCCCCTTGGTCAGTTTGACAGTTTTATTGGTCCTGGAGAGGGATGTGTCTCTGTTTAGTGTTTGTGTGTGTTATTTGGTTCTTAGGGAGTGAGGAGTATGATATGTGTAAGCGTGTGTATTGCTGTGGGTGTGTGTTATCATTTGGCTCATTAGGGTGAGTGAGTATGATGTGTGTATGTGTATATTGTGTGTGTGTGTATAAAGTGTGAGGCCTCAACACCTCCGTAAGCATGTCTGTCTTGTGTGGGTGAGAAATGTGGGTAGGTTTTGATTTGTTGAGTTATATATTAGTACTATCTATATTGTTAAATTTATGGTTTAGCCCGGCTGGATATTGTGTTTTTTAGACGTTGTATCCACTTATTTTCATGGAACTCTAAAATTTTTCTAATGTTATCTGCTCTGAACTTTTCTATTCTCTCAATTATAGTGAATTTGGCATGGGTTTTGAAATCATGTTTTTCCAGGCGGAAATGTTGTTCTACAGGTAATAATTTTTCATGGGGAGTTGACTTAATTCGATTGCGATAATTATTAATTCTGTAGTGAAAGGGCCATTCAGATTTTCCTACATATTGTTTCTGGCATAGTGTGCATTCTAGGAGGTAAATTATGTTATGACTTCTACAGTTAGAATTGTGGTAGATTTTGAAAGTAGATTTAGTGATTGAGCTAGTGAATGG